GGGTTCTCTAATCAGGCCGGCCAATGTGTACATCTCACCAGCTGGTGATTTAGGATCGTGTTGATAATTTTATAATCCATTATCCTTTTAAATTGAATGGTCTCTTAAACTCTTGGGATTTCTGTACCTGCATTTCAGCTGTTCGATAGAGCCAATAAACTGAATGGACATCACCACAAAACCATGGTCTTTGGGTTCTTTCTGACACACCAGGGCACTGGATCCCTTGCAGAACCATTAGACTGACCCTCCATGATTTTCACTGGAGGCATGCTTCCTCAATTAGGTCTATAAATAGAAATTTTACTGCTTCAGAGAGAATATAAATCAGCTTAGCAGGATATTCTTGGGGCAAAGAAAAGGGGAGGAAGTGGGGGGAGAAAGACATATTTATATTATTCAATGAAATGGAAATCAGGGGAGGGGGTGGGTGAAGAGCTGGAGACGGAGACTCTTCTTGGTGTTGGAAAACTGACAAGCAGCCTTAGACGTCGTTCTTCAAAGGAGAGGTCAAACTGAAAATTGGCAAGAAGTAGAGTCATTCTACTGATGCTTCAAAATATTTCCATTTATTAAAAGATTTCAGTGCTGAACACAAATCCTGGCTCCCTGGGAGAGCTCTTGTACAGAGAGCACGCATGTTGCTTCAGCAGTAATTCCTCTCTTTGTCCACCCTGCTTGGTGCTTTATGAAAATGCCTTTTGTCAGCTTCCTGCAGCTCTGCCTGGGTGAGTCACAACCAATAATCCCCCCTCTCACAAAGCAGCAGGGTGCGAGGAAGGCTAATTTCTCCCCACTCCTGTCTTTATCATATGTATTTTGTGCACTGAGCATTAAATAGCATTTTGCCACAACATTTTGTATCTACCCTGCTACAAAATAAAATAAACTCTCTGTATAATGCTGAACAAGCTGCACCTTGGTAAGCTGTTCCAGCAGTCAACCTATATTGTTCCTGCTGCTATATGAGCCTATTTCCTCCTGCACTCCCTTCTGTGAAGCCAGAAAATGCCATTCATTCACTCAACAAATAGGTACTGCATGCTTACTCTCTGCCAGCCAATGTGATGATGCCAAAAATACAGATCTCTGACCTCATGAGGCTTATAATTCAGAAGTGGAGCTAAGGGTTAAATAAGTTATCGTATAAAAATATTCCATGGCAACTGTGATAAGTATAGCAGAAGAGAGCACGTGCAGGCGGCCAACATGACAACATGAGTTGCTAAATGAGACCTGACTGACTTAGGAGGGCCAGTGAAGGGAACCCATACCAGGTATCATATGAAGGTGAAATATGAAGGATGAATAGGGGGGAGGAAAAGAAGAGAGAGCATCCTAGGAGCTGGAAGAGCCTGTATGGGGGAGCTGAGGCTGGAGGGGCCAGACAACGTATAGGTGAACAGAAGGAAGACCAGTGTGTGAGGGGGGAGGGGCAGAGAGGGTGAGGAGTAGCAAGGTCAAGATCAGACAAGGCCTCACATCGGTCATTTTAAATATTGTGGACTTAGTCCTAAGAAAATAGGATGTCACTAGGGATTTTAAGGAGGACAGCAATATGGTTAGGATTTTATTAAGCGTCACTCAGCACTATGAGAATAATGAACTATAGAAGGCAAAAGTGGAAGAAAGGAGACTAGTTAGAAGCTACCTGGTAGACCCAGCAAGAAATGAGAACAGTTAGAACAGGATGACTCAGTGGAAATGAAAACAAGCCAAAAAAGAAACTTAAGATTTACTTAGGAGGTAAAATGTATAGTACACACAGGAAAAACCGAGACAAGGGTTGTACAAAGAAGATCTTGTTGGTTTTGGACTTGAGTCACTAAAGAGATGATGGTACCATTTGTAGAAACAGAGAAAGCTTGAAGGAAAGGAGCTGGTTGGAATTATTGAAAGATAAGAGCACAAGAATTTAGAATTACACATGCTGAGTCAGATACCCGGGAGATACTCGAGTGGAGAGATTCAGTAGCCAGTTGGGTATATGTGGGACCCACATTAATGAAGATCATTTTAAATTATAGCAGAGGCAAACACTCCACAATCTTTTAATTTTTTTCTAGGAAAGACACATGTTCTCGAATTTTACCATACAAAACGGAAGTTGCTAGCCACGTGGGGGCTACTTGAATTTAAATTAATTAAAATTAAATAAATTGAAAAATTAGTTTCTCAAGTGCTCGGTATGGCTAGAGACCCCTGCGTTGGACAGTGCAATGGACATTTTCATTACGGCAGAAAGTTCTAGCAAACGGCCCTGCCTAGGACGTCAGAAGGCTTGCTATTTACAACACTCAGCTCTGACTCAGCTCTCTCAGTGACTATTCAGCTGCCATTCCATCGACACCAAGAACTAGAATCCTACCGTACTGCATGCCCCAGACAAACTGTTGAGGTTAAAGACATGGGAAAGAAGGAATGATAATCCCTGTTGTTCAGATTATCTTTCCACCTATCTTTAAAAGACAGATGAAGGATAAATGCCATGGAGAGAGTGTAAAAGGGGCAAGGGGAGTGAACCCATACTGTAAAAATATTGTCAGATCAACTGGGCTGACTAACGTCAGATGAAAGTAGGTGCCAAGGAGGCATTAGGTCATTATCTAGATTCTGACAAAAGAATGGGAACTGCATTCATGAGAAGAGAGGGAAAGAGGGTAACTCAATTGAGGAAATACTTTTTTCAAAAGGTTGTGAACCTTTGGAATGCCAGCCATATGTTTCTGAAGGAAAACAGAATCTGTGCTGACCTTGGAGGAGAAACAGTAACGGAGGGAGAGCCCTTGGGTGGACAAGGAGCAGCGTTCATTGTGCATTGACTTCACACTGAGGCACCCAGCTGACCGCTAGGGATTTCAACAGCAATGGGACCCTGGCCTGGTAATCAAGGACACCCTGGTCGAAATGGCTGTCACCAACTACCAAGCTGTCAGGAAAAAAGAGGGCTGATAAAAATGGGTTTTACAAAATATGTTCTTGTTCAACAAATAAGTAAATAAAACACCATATCTGCAATATATAAGGCAAATATTTCACCAAAAATGCCTATTCAAAAAACAGCATATTCCTAGGCCTCTGACTTGTGGAAGCAAATCCAAGGGAGGTAAACACATGAGGATCCTCAGACGGGCTGTGATGGGCCAGAGCAGATGTGGAAGTGCTTCTCCTGTTTTCCTTGACTCCATCCATTTGTAACCAAAAATAACAAGCCATGGGTCACACAGCTAGTTTGGGTGACTCTTCATCATTTTACATTTTAAAGATTTATTAATAACACAAGCATTAGCCCGAAGTCTACAAAGCGCTGCTTAACATTAAGTTCAAGGTTAACGTGAGACCTCCCATGAAGGAGCAGGAGAACATGTAAGCGCTTCTGCCTGGGCTGGAAAGAATTCTCTGGCTTTCCCGGGTCGGTTTCAGGCTTTGGAAAAGACTGCTCAGACTGTAGGATGAGGACAGAAACCTTTATGATACTGCACCTTGTGGTTTTTTTTCTTTGTGTTGTGTAGCCACGACTTTCACTGAAATACCATTGCCTATCAGAGTTAACTGACATTTCTTTTCTGCTGGCCAGTGGGTAATACTACTGAATAAACTATTTATCTTAAATATGCATGAGCATATTTAAATTCCTTCAAATGTGTTATTTTGCTATGTACTCTGTATCAGTTGTTATGGAAATAACTGTCCACTTGTACTACGGCTAGCTTTAGAGAAAAATACTCAAACGTATTCTATCTCGGTAGTGTTGGTTTTTGAAAAATATATTTGCTTTAGTTGCATATACTGATGGAATTTAGCCACATTAATCATTTCCCACTAAATTCCTTATGTTCTATTGCCTACTGTGAACACTAATGCCAGTATATCGCTTTTTAGTTATCAGAGTATTGCTTCATATTTAGAACTGATGATTTCCTACAAGATTCTGGTGCATCATATACCACATTTACATGATGAAACATTTACTCATAGTTTAAAATCACTTAAAATGTGTAAAGCAAAGTGATTGATTAATTTATTTTCCAAGTCATTTGCCTGTAGAGTTGGAATGTGTCTTAAATCTTTAGCCTTTTAAATGCTACTATCTCAGTAACTATTAAATTAGCAAAATTAAAATACCAGTACTACTCAGTATTGGTGAGGGCATTCCCACATTGGTAGGGATCTAAATTGGCACCCTTTGTCTGCAGAGCAGTTAAGAAAGGGTTAAACAGTATGCCTGCCAAACCTTAAAGGTGAGACAGCCTTAAATACAAAAATTCATCCTGGTTATGATATTCATCTCAATGCAACTCATGAGTGCAAAAAACCCAGAATAATATGTTATTAACAATAGAAGACTAAATACATCATAGCACATATAAAAAGGCTGTTAGAGATGGATTTGGTGGCATAGAAAGGTGGTCCTGATACAACCATATCTCTGGAATTATAACATTTGTTTTCAATAGTGTGTGTGTGTACAGAAAATATCTGGAAGAACGGGGGATTAACAGTATTTTTTCTCCTCTATTCTTGTCTAAATGTTCTAATTGTTATATAGTAAACATATATTGCTTTCATAGTTAAACCATTAATGTTTTTAGATTCTCATCCAAAAACCTTTCTGCTTTGCTTTTAGAGAGAGAGGAATGGAGAGAGGGAAATATCAATGCGAGAGAGAAGCGTCACCTGGTTGCCTCCCACTCGTGCCAGGACAGGGGGTCCAACCACAACCTAGGTACGGGTCCTGACCAGGAATCGAACCCGCAACCCCTCGGCTACAGGACGATACTCCAACCAACTGAGCCACACCAGTCAGGGCTTAAAACATTAAGTTTTTTTAAAATAGCTACATTAGACTGTTTTTAATCTGTCCTACCTCTAGGCACAGGGGCTTTGAACCCACCTAGCAGGACTGACCCATGACGCGCTGCATCTGATGACGGCCTCCCTCCCAAACCTACTCCCCCGGCTCCGCTGTCCCCTACGGCACGAGCAAGGCTCCCGCTCACCAAGCTGTCCTGGATGCACGGGGTCTCCGCAAGCCTCCGGACTCCATTCTCCACGGTGACTCCCAGCCAGTTGAGGGCTGCCCAGCACCAAAGGTAGTCGTGCCCCCCATGCCAGTAGCTCACAAATGCAAAAGTCATCGCAGTGGAAAGCAGTGTCCCCAGCAGGCCATGCTGGGACCCGCCCACGGGAATGTACACATACCTAGAGAAAGAAGAGACCATTAGGAGCCACACCAAGGGCTGTCCCTGCAACACATCTGGTCCCCAGACTGGACTCTTCTGTCACACGTTGATACTCCCCATGAGCAGACCCCTCCTTATTTCCAGGAGGCCACAGGGCACTTCAATTCTCCATCGCACAGGGAGTTGGCAAAAACACAAGCCTCAGCTCTGCAGGGCTGTAGGTCACATGAACACATGCTAACGGGCTGTCGTGACCAGGACAAACAGCACTTACAAGAGGCAGGGTGAGGAGCAATGCATTCAGTTTCTAAAAGGGATGTGTCCAACCCTAGAAAGCCCATCACAGAATGGCCATTAAGCCCTGGCTACATGGGACACCAACATTCAAGGCAGGTATGAATTTTACAGCTTGAACTACAGGGTCCGGCAGAAGTAACACCTGCGTGAGTGTGGTTGAGTAATAACATGGGTGCAACAACTTATAGTTTTAATTTGAACATTTCACCTAAAATGTCATATGGTGTGCTTGAGTGTGATATTGCTATACTACAGAATTTCACACTTACGATTCTGTAATAAAAGAGTGTGTAATAAAAGAGGGGCGTTATTTGTGCCGGACCCCTGTATTAAGTTCATGATAAACCTAGTATTTAAGTGCAATTGCTGAAATGGCAGGGGCAGGGTGCAGAAGAGGGTGCCAAGGCCGGTCCCTCAGCTTTCCGGGCAAGCTGCCCAGAAGCAATAGTGAATACACAAGTGAAGAGAAAAGCTCTGCATTCATAGGGCAGCCAAATTATCACCCAAAATGCACAGCCATCCCCTGGGAACGGTCTCTACTGCTGAGCCAGCCATCTGACAGTGTACAGGTGGGACCGTGTTCTCCCAAATCAGTATTTTCCTGCTGGAGTTGGACAAGACTCACAGCTTGGGTAGGGTAGGACCTGGAGAGCTAGGTATGTACCCTTTACACTTGGTCCTGTCTACGTATTAATTTTTGTAGGAAATTTTGTTTTGAAAATCTTTTTTTCTTTTTTTAAATTTTTTAGAAACAGAGGGAGAGAAACATTGATGTATGGTTGTCTTTCATATGCTCCCTACTGGGGACCTGGCCTGCAACCCAAGCATATGCCCTGACATCGAACCAGAGACACTTTGGTTCACAGGCCAGCACTCAATCCACTGGGCCACACCAGCCAGGGCGGTAAATAATTTTTGAATAGAATAATTTTATAGGTAAGCCAAAAAATAAAAATAAAAACCATTCCTCCTTTACCTTCAAATATGATGCAGTTTAGATTATTATTATAATTTATTAATTATGTGATCAGCTTAGACAGCCCCATTTTATGGGTGAAAAATCTGAGGTTGGGAAGTGAACTTGACCAAGACAGACAGCCAGGAAGGGGAAGAGCCAACCTGCATCTGTGGCACCAATATCAATGTCTTCCATTACACCCTTGGGTTTATTTTGAAAGCCCTCTATTTTACACTCTAATCAGAAACAAACCAGAGAGCATGGGAGAATGTAGCCGTTTCAGAAATAAATGAAGCAAAGAAAAATACTACTTTCTTCTGTGCAAAACCAAGACCATCTTGGCAATCAAATTAGCAAATACATATCAAGCACTCCATGCAGTTTAAGGGATCGCCCACCTGCTGTCAAGTATTTATTTAGGCTTCTGGGGCAGACCCGGCATCATGGAAGACACAGAGACATAAGATACTGCTCCTGCCGAAAGGATATGCACAGCTGATTGTGAAGCAACAGCAAACGCGTCCCACATTAAGCTACACAATAAGGTAAGAGGTAGACCATGAGGGTTTAAGAACATGGAGGAGAAGTGGGTGAGTGGAGGCAAGTAGGGTAGAGGAGATGTAACAGCAAAGGTCTCCACCTTGGGCGGCCCATAGGATGAGTTTTGCTAGGCAAAGGGGAGAAGGCTTGGATGCTGCTCCATGGACTTGTAAGGGCTGGGCATCGAGGCAGAAAAGACTGAGCGCGCAGGCACAGTGTTTTTCATTTGTGTTATGCTGCCCCCTAGAGGCTACTTGGTTATTGGAACAGTTTTCAGCAGAAGCCAAAAAGAACCACAATTCTCAGCATGGGACCAGACAGAGCCATGGCCCATCACAACACTCCGTTTAGCTGGACTTGTATTGTGCTGGTCAAAAAGTCAGTATGGTTTTTTACATAACACAAAAGATACATTTTTTATTTTCACCAATAACTTTATTGATTTGAATATTTTGAGTATATTGTCTATTTCCCACGTGGTAGAAGGTTACTCTTTCTCAATTAATATCTCAATTTGATCTCTATCAGCTTCAGCTAGTCTACCCAACTGTGAAGCATCATCCAGCAAGAAACCTCCAACAAGAAACTCTGCAAACCACTTCTGACACGTTTGATCAGTCACAGCACCTTCTCCATACACGGCACAAACCTTTTTTTTTCCTTTGCATTTCAGGTGCATTTTTGCATTTCTTGAAATAATAAAGCATATGCCAAAAATGTCACTTATTTTCTTCCATCATAAATATTAAAATGGCTACACAAAAATTCACAAATTTTGATAAGTTTGTTTTAAATACATGGATACGAGAGCTGTCACAATATAATTTAACAAAATTGTTTCAAATAAAGCTCAAGATAACTAAACATCACTAGAGCCATCTTACAGAAAACCAAATGACCTTTTTGGCCAACCCAATACAATCAGTGCTGTGTGCAAGAAGGCTGTATATAGAAAAAGGAGATGTGGTCAGGCCAGTTGCAAAAATATGAGGAATGACTTCTGTTTATAGAAACTTTGAAGATAATTGTTTTATATAACAAGTTAATAGTAATATGAATACTCTTCTCACCTAACGTCACTCTTTCATGTTGAGATTTTCATTGCATCTCACTATATTACAGTGTGCTGCACTGTATATGTCAGAAAGCCCACGACAGAACAAAAACCTCTCATCATCCGCAACCAGTGGACCTTAATATTGGATCCAACTCCAAAAAGGGTGTGTTTTCAAGCTTGTGAGGAAGAAGCATCGAGCCCCATAATTACATGCTCAGCTATTTTAGGCATCTCTTGGCACTGGCGCTTTGTTACTGTGCTTTCAAAGTGACAGGCGACAAAAATTCCTTTTCTTGTAGATATTCATATAGGGCAGGTCTCCAAGGACATGAGCTGCTTGTTTTAAACCAGGAGAGAGTATGGTTTCCAGACTGGGAGATAAAAATCCCTTCTTCGCTCTTAGTTTCTAAAAAGGAGTAGGTGTGGCAGAAGGAGAGTAAACAGGGTATTTCCTTTTACAAATTCCACCAGTTTTGTGTCAGTTCCATAATTAATAACAACAGAGCTGTGTCTCTCTTTTAGAAAAGCAGTAGCATGACCCCACTCACCTGGATCCACTGCACAGTGAAATTGATTTCCCAGTGGAAGAAAGCACTGCCTTCTCAACAAAGCAAAAAGAAAAGATTTCTTCTTGCCAGAGACTGTGCGGGCACGGGTTTGCCCAAGGCCTGACCCTGCCAGCCGGCTTCATGTGCTCACTACCTGCAGAGATGCCGCTTGAGGAAGCTGGCACCACCTGCCACCACCAGCTGAGTCAGTGCAACATGGCAAACCCCCAACCAGGAGAGTAACCTCCGAAAAAGGTGGATGTCGCTAATAACATACACCCTTGACTGAACATCTGCAAGCCAGGTGCTTTATATATACCATTTCTAATGATTAAAACAACCTTGCGCCCTGACCTGACCAGTGTAGCTCAATGGACGGGGTGTTGTCTTGCAAAGCAAAAGATCACCAGTTTGATTCCCAGTCAGGGCACATGCCTGGGTTGCTGGTTCAGTCCCCGGTTGGGGCAAGTACTAGAGGCAACCAATCCATGGTGCTCTCTCACATCGATGTTTTTCTCCCTTCCTTTCTCCCATCCTCCTCTCTCTCAAAATAAATAAATAAAATCTAAAAGCAGCCCTGCAAGGTGCTAATGACGAGACCTGTTTTACACAGCAGAGGTGAAATCTGAACCTAGAATTTGCCAGTTCCAGAACTCCCAGGCCTGTGTGCTATTAAGTCACTTATCATTGTGGGACCATTTCTTGGTGGTATTTTCCTCTTATTTAACCAAACCTTCCCAGCAATCTCCACAGAAACATCCACTATTATTTTATCAACTGAAAAAGTGTCCTTTGTAGGAAAGAAATCTTGCTTAGAAGAAAGATACTCATTGTTTCAAAGGGGTTTAGGCCAAAAAGCTGTTTCAGAGGCCAAAGGTGCAAGTTCAGTTTCTAAACAAACTAGTTTCCTCCCATCCCACCAGCAGAGGTTACGCCTGCTGTCTTCCCCGGGCAGTGTCCTGCAGCTAGCTGTCCGACTATGTAAGAAGTGGGGCATAAGAACTTAATGACTGGGGCTTGGTGCTGAGAAGGTGTCTGTGAAGGGAGAGGAAAATATCTCTCTCCTTCCTATCCGCCATGAAAAACTTGGGAATATGCCCTACAGTGGGGGACAGGAGTGGTGAGAATCCATGTGATAAATACATTAATCTCAAAAGCACATGCTCCCTTTTCCCAGGCCGTACACAATAGCTCCCTGGCTTGCCACATTATATTCAAACTCTGCCAAGGACTAATCCCAAACCCCAAGACAAGGGAACAGGGCACCTAAGATACTTGGGTTTTGCTGTCCCATGGATGAGTCAAGGTGGGCTTGCAGGCCCAGTCTTCAAGCACCTACTGTTAGCAAACAATGGCTAACACCCTGTTCCAGCTCTGCCTTATCTTCTGCCCTTATTTCCAGCAGTTCTCTTAACGAAATCGAAAACCCCGAACAAGTTGGGGTTGTTCTCCGATTTTCCAATTCCTATTCAGTCTACAAAGTCCAGTTAATTTTTCACCTCCTCCAGGAAGACTCTTTTGGATATTCCAACTCTCTATTTAACCCAGAGAACCTACTGTTCCCACTGAGGGAACAGTTATTCACCAAAACATGCCTTTCTTCTTAGGGCTGCCATTTT